CAACTGAGACAATTTTATTTTTCTAACAGGGTAGTTGGCCTTTGGAATGGGTTGCCTTCAGATGTTGTAGAGGCAGTAAATTTAAATGAGTTTAAGAGAAAGCTTGATAAGTATATGAATGATAAGGGCTGACTTTAAGATTTTTTTTAAAATTTATCAGTTAATATATTTAGTTTATAAGATAGAATAGCTGAGATGGACCAATAAGTCCCATGCTGTTCCAAAATGTTATGTTTGTAGAGAATGTTGAATTTGTTATAACATTTTTTTTTTAATCAGTAGACTTTTTATAGGATGACTTGATTGATGATGTAGAATCATTTGTGGCAGCAGCTGAATTGTTGAAAGAGCGTGGGGCTTATAAAATTTATGTACTTGCCACTCATGGCATTTTATCAAGTGAAGCACCTCGGTTGATTGAAGACTCGGCTATTGATGAGGTGAGCTTTGACTTACTGAACACGTATATGTTACATGCAAACATGTCAATACAATATGTTATTGAAACTGATTTTAAATTCTTGAATAATTGTATCTACAAATTTTAGGTTAGTAACTTTAAAATGTAGTATTGATGTAGTTCTTGAAACTTGTACAGTAGAACCTCAACATTAAGGGCAACCTTCTGACTGCATCCAAATGCCCTCTATAGCAAGATGCCCTTAATATAAAAAATGAGTCATGCAAAGCTGGATTTCATATTGACCATACTAAATTTCTGAACTTTATGGCCCCCAATTTGTTCAGTGCATGCAGGACATGGATGTTCGTGAGTTGCATGTTGGCATGACATGGAGCACTGTCAAAGGGAAGTCTCAAGGGGTGGAATAACTGTGCCCTTTTTTCTTTATTATTGGTCGCAAAGTTCCAAAGTACTTCTCTTCAGAGTTTGAACTGCTAAACATTTCACATTTATTTTCTGTGTTTATTTTACTGTCAACAACTGAAGTAGAAATCCACTAAAAATAAAACAACAAAGCACCCGCACAGAAATAAGCCAACTTGACCCCTGTTCTGAGAACATGATGGGGAATTTATCAGCTTATGTATCCTCCTAGCATGTTTACAATGAGAATTCCTCAGAGTAATAAGATTGTTTTTTAAATCTGTGAAAACATTTATTACAGTATATGGTTTAGAGCCAATCCAATAAACATCACAAGTGTTTGAATATTGGTCATCCTTCTGGGTTGTTTGGAATTTAACAGTTCACCATCCAGGTATACAAAGATAACTGCCTGCTTTATCGAGTACCCATATAGAGAACAAGGTTAAAGAAACTGTCTTTATCTGGAATATCGAGTTGCCCATTACTGCAAAATTTATATTGGTTACAAATAAAAAAAAAGAAAGCGACTGAAAATGTCTGCCCTTAATGGCACAGTTTTTCGAGGTGCCCATTAATTGAGAATTTTCTGTAATATCCACTTGATATTTATTAATATTTTTCATTTTTGTGATTTTTACTGTGTACCAACAAGATATTTCTGTTATTGAAAACTGCAATATGTATAAATATCATGTTAAGAAGCATGTATGTATAAGTTAAAACAGATTCATAGATATTTCCTGTTTGTACATAAATGGAAACTCGTAATAAAGATAACACGATCTTGTGTTTAGTTAGATTGTGTTTAATCAGTAATATATTTAGTGCATAATTTCCACTTATTTGTGAGACTCCTATAGTGTTGTATGTTGTCACTGACTAATTACAACTGCACTAAGATATGCCATGATATGTTTATTATTTTTTAAGCTCCTGATACATTCCTTTTACTGGTATCAAGAATTTGTTTAGTAGAATGTAGTAATACCTAGAATTGTATCTTTCGTAAATGCTTTAGAAATGTTCTAATAGAGAAATCAAATTATTGATTAGTGATTTTGGTCA